GGCCCCAGGGGGGACCCTTTCTAAAAAAAAAAAAAAAAAAAAAAAAAAAAAAGGCATATCCTTCATCAAGGACCCAAAATGTGAAACTCGGCTTCCAACCCCAGAGGACCCCAACTTTAGGGTCTTCCTCGCATCCCTGCAAGTTATTAATCCAGATTACAAACTCAGGACCACCTCCTTGCTCACTCCATCCACCCCGACTCCCCCCAACTAATACAGATTCTGAACTCTGAACTTCAGAAATGGGTCAACAAGGCCCACAAACAAACGTTGAACGCTCAATAGTCAACCAAATAAACTATCCAAAGCCAAGAGTGATGGCACTTGGGAGGCTGAAGCAGGATTAGTCTCCAAATTAAATATATATATATATACACACATATATAAATTGTGTAATACAGAATCAACTTGGATGTTAAAAAGGATCTTAGAACAAAAAAAATGTCCCAAATCCTTAAACCCGAGAGTTCTACAAACTACAGCATGCCTCCAAGTCATCTAAGTCTCAGGGGAACCTGTCTCTAAAACCGAGACCCTCTAACTTTCAGGGAATACCCTCCTCAGACCCCGGGCACCTTCCGACAGCCGTTCTCTGACCTTGCGCCCTCAAGAGCCAATGCTTCGCCCAACTCAGTCCAGGTCCTGAGGACTTTTAAAAATATTTTCCCACGACTAAGATTAAAGGCTTTTTCTTGAAAGACCAGGGAGAGGAATCTAGCGCTTTCGTACTGGCTCCCAGGCACCAGTGGTCTCCACGTCACAAAGCACTCCAGCCACGTCCCACGTGGGGTACCCCAATTCTCTCATTTCCTAGGATTTTCTTTGGCCCCGCCCAGAAGCCCAACTCTAAGTAGGATTGGACTGCAACAAAGAAGGCCCCACCCATAGCTCCATGACGTCACAGGGTGGGCCCTCTTTCGTAGAACTTTCCCAGCGCCTACGGAATGGAAACCACTGACCTGTTCTGGCTTCCAGACCCAAGTTCCAGACCTCTGGCCTTTGTCGCCCTCTCTTCCCCTCGGCCCCAGGTTTTCCGGCTGGTTGCAAACACTGGAGTCCGGTCACGAAGATACGGGAAGTGGCTAATTAAAAAAAAAAAAAAAAAAAAAAAATCTGAGACTACAACTCCCAGAAGGCCCTGGGGTCTTTTTTCCTCTCCACCTCATAGCCTTATGGGAAACGTAGTTCAATAGAGATACTCTTTGCTTAACTGTCTCTCTTCGCTCCCCAAACCTAGCTGGAGAAGTGTTGATCACTCACACATGTAGTCCTTGTTCTTGGGAGGCTGAAGCAGGAGGACTGCCACGAATTCCAGGCCAGCCTGGGCTTCAAAGTGAGTTCTAGGCCAACCTGGGCTACAGCAACCATGTCTCAGAACAAAATAAAAAAAACATAAAACGAGTCTGGTGGCCGTTACAGAAAGTTTCAGAAAAAGGTACTGAGGGAAAATGGACCAAAAATCCAGAAGCAAGGCCGGGCGTGGTGGTGCACACCATTAGTCCCAGAACTTGGGAAGCAGAGGCAGGCAGATCTCTGTAAGTTCAAGGCCAGCCTGGTCTACAAAGCAAGTTCCAGGCCAGCTGGAGCTACTGAAAGACCCTGTCTCAAAAGGACCAAAGGGAAAAAAAAAAAAAAGCCAGAAGCAAAGGTTGCCATATCTGAGTAGGTAACCCTACCCCAAAGTATCAGTCTTGAATGTATGTCCCTGGAAGTCCTACCACCACCACACCCCTCCACTGTGTCACACATTTACACATGCAACACACACAACTATCTCCAAAAACTGCAGAGACATGGATTGGCCATGTGGCCCTTTAATTCATTGCTTCCCCTCGCCTGCCTGTGGAGGCTGAGTTGGGAACCATACCCTGAAACTCCCTGAGACAAACAGAGGCTTGGCTTCTTAGCCGGGAGTATGATTACATTCAACGTTATGTAAAGAACCTTCCTTCACCCTTGAAAAAGCAGCAAGGATATTTGACATCTGAGTCAAAGACTCCACCCTTCTTTGCTAGGAGCCTCTGCAACTGGAAGACCTTCAGACCGTTTCGCCCCGAACCTGCCCAAAGCTGGATTTGGTGGCTTTGTGAGTTCAGGGCACACATGGTTGGCAAGGGCCACAGTACCCTCTTATTTTCTGCAGGCTTGATCATGTCCAGGAAACAGACCCCAGGTCTCCAGTACTGCAGCCACAGAGGAGGAAACATCCCTGGTTCTAAATTCAGAGCCAATCTATACAGCTCTTAGTTTTAAAAGTTCTGAGCTTAGACAAAAAAAGGATCTTTGGGTTTCTAAAAGGTTCTTCTCCAAAGATTCAGTGTCTCAGCAGTATCTCTCTCTCTCTCTCTCTCTCTCTCTCTCTCTCTCTCTCTCTCTTTCTTTCTTTCTTTCTTTCTTTCTTTCTTTCTTTCTTTCT